AAATTTAAAAAAAAAAAAAAAAAATATATTATTTTTGTATCAAGTTGAAACGCATGGTGCCCTTTGTCCAGGATATGTTGTTAACAAGTTAACTAGCGTTTGTTATGTCGGAGAGAATTTCATGTTTCCAACCAGAATGGCCTGGGATCTGTCGGATGCGACCGACTGGGATTTTATGATCTTGTTTGTTCGTACCTACTCTGTGTGTGTGAAATGTTGCTTTATTTTCGCACATGGTTGTCAGGATTTACGAAAACTGCAATAATTCATATTGTCGGATTTACTAAAATTACTGATGTCAAAATCACAATTTTTAAGGAGAAAAAAAACAGCTATATTCTTACATATAAAAAGAACCGCTGTCGTAATATTATTTATTTTTTGGTGAAGGAAATAATTTCTCAACAGCTAAAATAACAAGTTTATGTATTCATTGCTTCATAGTTAAAAATTAAAGTTGTTAACTTCTTAGTTTAATATTTTTTTAATAGTATACATGAAATGTAGCAATAAAGTAATATACTATTTTTTAAGAAAATAAATGATTTAAAAAAATCTACGTTGTTTGCTTAAGACCACTTGAAAGAAGTGAAAACATCAACAAGGCTAGATATATATTTTTCTTTGTTGTATATTCACAAAGTAATAAAATTTACAATTTATAGCTCATTACAAAGAGAATGAAACGATGAACATTAACCTCGCTTACAGCATGCAGGTCCGATTTTTAGTTTCTGAGATATTTTAATCCATATCTTCAATAAAACTCATTATCATTTGGTTTTCCACACAATTTTTCCCCTTTTCGCTTCTCTAACATGGTATCGCGTTAAGAAATTTTGAACAATAACTCATTACAAAGAGAATGAAATAGTGAATATTTTCCTCGCTAACAGTAAGGATGTCCGATTTTTAGTTTTGAGATATTTTAATCAATATACAAAAACACTTCAATGAGTCGTCTTGAGCCGACTTTACCCGAATGAGCGTTACACATCCGTGCCTGACGGCCCAGTCTCGTTCAACCCCCACAAAAAAAGGTCTAAACGCGCCTAATGAATTTTTCACTTTAAAAAAGTATTTACCATATTAATAATTTGTGTTCTATAAATATTTTATGATGTTCAATCCCAAACAATTTTATAAACGTTTTGATTGTTAATATGTTTTAAGTAATTTTAATAACATTCTTAAACGCATATGTTGTATTATTTTCCATTTAAATTTAAATACTACCTGAATTAATAAATAATTCTATAAAGTTAGAATCTGATCCTTATCTTTAAATAAATTTGTGGGAAAGCCTTGCTCAAACGTCGCATTGTGTACGAAATCTCTAATTTATGTGGATGTAAGAACCGAAGTAGAAACTTTTGATTTTTGGGGTATAAAATATATTTTTTATTAATACACAAGTAATGACTAGTTGGTACCTCACTATTTTACAAATATTAAAATTTTTATATTTATTCAGAACCGTTCAGTCTTTTATTAGCTCATCTCTCTTGTTTATAATGTTTTTTATATTTAAAATTACTTTTTCTTTGTCAATGGACGTTACAGAGACAGGTACGAAAGAATATTATACTATAACTAATTGAATGTATCAGAAACTTAGTCTCTTCCAAGATCACCAACAATAAATAGGTTTTCTGGATTTGTTTCTCCAAACCTAGTTTTATTTTTACCTATAGAACTGCCTGATCACTTGGATTTTAGATTTGCCCATTTAGTAGAGTCGAAAAGCCATTATACACCTTAATCGTGATCAATCGGTTAAAACAAAACTTTCTACTTGGAAAGCCATTATTTTAAAAGTTAGAAAACTTCTAATCTATTTTCCTCAAAGAGAAATTTCGGAATTACTTCCATTATTAATGGATGTTCTGTTCCTAGGGATGTTAAAATTTAACGATTAATTTGAAATTTGGGTAGATTATTTATTATGGTTATTTATCATCTCTTTGAGAGATATTGTTGATAAATCAACTTTCCTTAAAGACAAAACTAAAAATTACTATATTAAGTAAAATAAGTTTTTTTTTATTTATTCATGAGATTTACAACTGTATAAATTTAAAAAATACATACCGTAAATTTGCACACGGTAATAATACAATCACATAAAAACGCTTTTTGAGAAACTACCCATTGGTAGCACTCTAATAATATATTTACATAAGTAGATCACGAGGCCATCTTCTTTTCAGACGCCTTGGAGGGTTATCAGGTATCGAAGAGGAAGCGAGGTTTGAAACTAGAGTGTTCGGATGGTTATGAAGTATGTCATGGAAGGATAGGTATCTGGATTGGGCTAAATTGGAAAATGCAAAATAAGTTGATAAGAACGAAATAATTAAGTTGATATAAAAAAATATATGTTTGAAATGGGCGTACTAGAGTGTGGCGTTAGTACATAACTTTTTTAAATCAAAATCAGATACATTTATTTTCGATGATTAATTTATATATGCTGCTAAATATTTTAAATATAAAATTCAAAATATTTATTCACACGTGATAGCTTGAAATAAGAAAAATATATTTAGAAAAATATAAAAACAGTAGCCGATAAAGACACCTTTTTTATATTAATATACCAAAACAGTACATAATTAAATAAAGGATTTACTCACTTAATATAAAAGTGTAAAAAAAAAGCTATAAACTTAAATCTGAAACATTAGTCAGAAACCTTTTGATTACTTGAGTAATTTATTTATGGTATTAACGATATAAAATTCAAAAGAAACGTTCAAACAATACAACTAAAAAAACGCTGCAAATGATTTCACAATGGTTTATTATCTCCAAACAATTATACATCTAAAGTAACATTACCTTCCGAGTTACAAAGAAAAAAAACAAAAGGTGATTCCAATTATTGGACTAAACTGTTTTTCTTTAATCATTAGTAATATGCTAAAAAAAATAGCATTATTTCAGTAACACATTTAAAATTTAAAAACCAAACCAAGGATATAACATTTGGAGTAGAACACATAAAAAAAACCAGAGACCATATCTTTGCTCCTAATTGTCCGATTTTAACGATTTTTTTTTTTTTTTAGAAAATTTCATAAACTTTAAAAAAACATATACAATATCAACAAAAAAGTAAAAACTTTTCGAGTTATTCGGAATTTAATTTTAACATCCCTCGTAACTTTTTTTCCAGCTTCTTTTCGTTGAAGTATGTTATATAGATAAATTTAAAGGGCGTCGAGAAAATGACTTTAGCGAAGTTTCATTGAAATCTGTACATTCGTTTAGGAGCTACAGTCTATAGCAACGCAGGTTTTTCGGCCGCCATTTTGAAAGTTAAAGGCGGAGAGTAATGTCGATGAAGGAGGATCATCCTCGGGTGACCTCTGATTTTATATCAAAATTTGAAAAAAAATCGGTCCAGTAGTTTCGGAGAAAATGCGCGGACGGCGGACGGACAAAAAAATTTTTATTCGTTTTTCGAATTCTACGCATCTTGAAACGTGAAACCTCAAATTTTGAGAGGGGGTTATGTTTTTGAATTTTTTGGTCGATCACAATGTTTCATTATTGAAAATAATAAACCAAAATATGTAAAAACCGCGATATCTCTACTAATAGTGCTTTGATTTCGATGAAACTTCCTTCATTTTTTAGGAAATTTAAATACCTTTGAAACATCTCACAATAACACAAAAAAGTAAAAACTTTTCGAGTTATTCGGAATTTAATTTTACCATCCCTCGTAACTTTTTTTCCAGCTTCTTTTCGTTGAAGTATGTTATATAGATAAATTTAAATGGCGCCGAGAAAATTTCTTATAGAGCTACAGTCTATAGCAACGCAGGTTTTTCGGCCGCCATTTTGAAAGTTAAAGGCGGAGAGTAATGTCGATGAAGGAGGATCATCCTCGGGTGACCTCTGATTTTATATCAAAAATTTGAAAAAAATCGGTCCAGTAGTTTCGGAGAAAATGCGCGGACGGCGGACGGACAAAAAATTTTTATTCGTTTTTCGAATTCTACGCATCTTGAAACGTGAAACCTCAAATTTTGAGAGGGGGTTATGTTTTTGAATTTTTCGGTCGATCACAATGTTTCATTATTGAAAATAATAAACCAATAAAGAATAATATAACAGTGACTAAACAATTTTTTTTCTTAAATAAAAAAACAAAATCGTTAAATTTTAATCTATTTCAATACTACAACTTTTAATCTATGATTTTTTTTCTCTTAGCGAACTAATTTCCAAGCTGCAGGGCTATTTATAATAAAGTGTCTCAATTTTTGACGAAATTCGTAAAAATCTGCGTTCGTTAACAGTGGTTATTGGCCATACCACTAAATCAAATCATGTTTAGGTACTCGATGGAAACAAAATTTAGCTGTCTTTAATTTCTTAAAGAGTACATTTTCCCCTTCGATGAACCCATTAGGAGTTATAGGTGAAAACACTTTTTTGGCTGTAAAAAGGTTTTCCATATAAACAAGTCAACCAAAACAACTTGTTAAAGTAACAACTTAAACAACTTTTTTCGTAATATATTTCCCGTTTTGATCCCCAAGTTACAGGTATTATATTCTTTAAATTATCCGCCATTTCTACTGGTAGCGAGATTGGACTGGCAGACTCTCGTTTTTTTAATATAAATGTTATAAATATTTTTAAAAAATGCTGTCATAATGTTCATCACATTATGTCAATTTTTTTGCACGCACTCTCGGACTAACCATTCATGATGAAAAAGGCTAATGAAAACTATTCATGATTCATTGCTAAAGCTCATAAATATTAATGTTCGTACAGTATTTTTATATATACATATACATATATGTTTTATTTTATTATTTTTTTCACAACTTTCCAAAAAGTTACAATGCAAAAAAAAAATCCTTGAGCCTCTCCTCGCAATTAGCGCATACAATAGGTATTGTACTCATGGTAATAAGAGCTGCCTTTATTTAGCCTTCTTAGGCCCTCCGGGACCAAGTTTATCTCATCCAAGGTAAACAATGCTCCTGCCGCTAGTATATATTTTCACCCATGCCCAGGCACAATGGAATCTGGGAACGCCTGTTACGGTATGTATAATTAATAAAGGAGCTTGTAGTACATTGGCTAATCAATTTAATCCAATACCAAACTGGGCCAGACCAGAGTAAGCTATATGAATACTTGTAAGATGATGTTATGACCTTATACAAGTATTTGCCTTAGACATTCGGCGTCTCTGGGCAATGACATCATCTCCCTCTTACTAAAAAAAAAATTAATTTATTTCTTAAGCTGTTTTATATTGCGTAACATTTGAATTATATTTCATTAAAAATTTCTATGACACAGTTACTTTTTTGATAAGCTAAAATTAATACGTTTTGTTTGTTTTTTTAAATTTATAATATGTGACGAGCGCTTCTGAAGATCAGTATCCTCAAAGTCTATAAGCTATACAAAGCAATGAGATCAGTCTAAAAACTGATCAAAATGCTCTATCTCTAAGACGAGTCTTGGTCTTGAGCAATCAATTTTGAGCTAGGTCTTGGTCTTGCGCAAGAGTCTCGCAATAGCTTTGCAGTTATCTATTAACTTATTACAACAGAGATATAACTGTATTTATTCAGATAGAAGAAACCTAACTAAGTCCAAATGAAAAATTTGAAGAGTTAAATGCAAAAGTATATTGCTTGTATCAATATATATTAACTAAAATTGTGAAGTATTGACAACTATTTTGTTTAAAAAATCTATTTTATTTCACTTGAGCTTTGGGGCCCTACATAACATCAAATTCTTACAATCCAAAATCCTCCGTAAAATCCTAAGTGCTCCTTATTATGCAACAAATAAAATCTTTATTTTATTATTTTTTTACGACAAAAAACAGCTCGACGTTTCCGACTGCTCCAGCACTTACTAGACAAACACTCTAAGCTCCCAGTCAATTACAAAAGACTCATATACATGACTACAATAAGACCTATTTGGACTTACGGAGTTGAGCTCTGGGGCTCCTCTAAGCCATCGAATTCCTCTCGTATTCAATCCTTACAATCCAAAATCCTTCGTAAAATCCTCACTGCTCCTTACTTTGTCACAAACAAAATCATCCATAACGACCTTAATGTTCCTTATGTTTCTGACCTGGCCCAATCCAGATACCGATCCTTCCATAACAAACTTTAGAACCATCCTAACCCTCTCGTTTCTAACCTTGCTTCCTTTTCGATCCCTGACAACCCTCCGAGGCGTCTGAAAAGAAGATGGCCTCGAGATCATTTTTTTGTAAATACATTTTTAGAGTGCTACCAGTGGGTAGTTTCTTAACAAGTGATTTCATGCTATTATATTCTTTTGTTCACATTTACTGAATGTATTTTTACTTGTAATACAGTTGTAAATATCATCAATAAAAAAAAATTATTATTATTATTTTTTTTTTGTTCTTCCCTACCTCCTACCTCGCCTTTTAGGCTATACGGGATTTTCCCGGGCAGTATAAAATCCCTCCGGCACCGGGACGCGAACTCGTACTTTTTAAATCTTCTCAATTCTGTAATCCGGTTGCCAGGCAACTCGCGGTGCTGTGCACACGCTTTTAGCCCATTCGGCCACCCCGCCCCGACAACAAATAAAATTATTCATAAAGACCTCAACATTTCTCTTGTGGAAGACTTGGCCCGAACTAGATATACCTCTTTTAATTCCAAACTCTTTGGTCATCCCAGTCCTCTAGTTTGTAACCTTTCATCCAATACAATTCCTGACAACCCTCGGTGGCGTCCGAAAAGAAGATGGCCAAGGGACCTCCTAAATTAATTTATCTTTGAAGTATTACCAATGGGTAGCTTCTTCACAAGTACCTTCATGTTATACATTCCTATAGCAGATTTACTGGTTGTATACATGTTTAGAGTTTTAAATTTCAATAAAATAATAAATAAAAAATATTTCACTAGCCTTGATCTTGGTCAAAATGCTCTATCTCTAAGACGAGTCTTGGTCTTGCGCAATCAATTTTGGGCTAGGTCTTGGTCTTGCGCAAGAGTCTCGAAACAGCTTTGCAGTTATCTATTACCTTATTACAACAGAGATATAACTGTATTTATTGAGATAGAAGAAACCTAACTAAGTCGAAGTTTTGAGATTTTATGAGGCGATGTGGTGAGAACACATTTTCAACAATCCACAATTTACCCAACTGAGTTAAGTAATATCAGCAAACTAGAATCTATGAAAACAAAAGAGACAAATATGGACAGATACAGATATTTGTTCTCTGCATTCACGATTAACGGAAAAGAACAGCCGGCTCAGAAGAATATTGGAACATACTCTAACGTGGAATTAAAAAAGAAAGCATGTGATTGATTTGATCCGAAATAGCTTTTAACATACAATAACATACATTCAGATATTTTGTTCCTTTGTTATTGTTTAACTTTAATCAGTGCTTGTTAACATTATTTAAGTATTCAGACAAAAAAAAGGGAGTGCGGTAACTCAGTAATAACTCCTCCCCTCCCCCCGAGCTTCCAATGCTCAATGTCCCAGTTACCCTTAATGAAATAATTGATTAAGGGGGGGAAACTGGTGGTTGATCTCAGTCATATCATCACTTTGTACAACAGTTGACTAAGAAACAATGCTCTCCCTAAATAGTTCTGAAACCAAGATCCTTCTTTGGTTGTAGTGGTGCAGGTTTTATTTTATACAAAAAAAAAAAACACATTCTTCTAAAATTATACTCATTAACATAATTTCCGTGGATCAATTTATATCTATACATTCCTTGTCGAATTCACTGAGATTGACCGAACATTTAAAAAAATTATCGCGGCTTGAAGCTTTAAAAATATATTCTCGACTTTATTTTTCAATTTTTTTTCTTAAGTTCAATAAGACAACGGGATATCACTAACATAAGTACCTTAAGTGTATTATTTAAACTTCTCATATAAGATAGTCGAATAATCAGTTTTTGCATTATGATTAGTAAGTAATTGTTTTGCAGTTTTACTTTTGTATTTTAAACATATATTATTCAAATTAAAGCGAATACTTTGTACGTTGTATTCTATAAATATTAGTAATAGTACAAAAGGGCAACAACTTTTTTTTTTAAATTATTTTCAAACCTTTGTATAATTTCTATTTTTATTTATTATAAATAATAATAATATTAAAATATTTTGAGAGTTAACTAACAATATTTGCAGATTTATCAGAGTATTATCCCATCAAATTAGTTTTATCCTTCGTCGCAAACCTATGACTTTCTGCCCTACTGTATCCTTTAACAATACCCCACTTGTCCCTGTTGAACAAATCCAATACTCCACCTGAACAAACGACTCACTCGGAATCCTCATACCAGACTGAAACGACAAAAAACCGCTCGGCGTGAAATTTACAACTGTACAAATTAATATACATTCAGCAAATGTGGTACAAAGAAAAATATGTCATGACAAGGCTTGTAGAGAATCTATCCATTGGTAGCACTCTAATGAAGTATCTAAGTTAGGAGATCACGAGGCCATTTCTTTTCAGACGCCTAGGAGGATTATCAGAGATTGAGCAGGAAGCAAGGTTAGAAACGAGAGGATTAGGATGGTTATGAAGTTTATTATGGAAGGAAAGATATCTGGATTGGGCCAAAAGGGAAAAATATGGAACATCAGGTCATTATGGATTATTTTGTTTGTTACTAAGTAAGGAGCATTAAGGATTGTACGAAGGATTTTGGATTGTAAAGATTGGATACGATAGGAATTCGATGGTTTAGTGGAGCTCCAAAGCTCTACTCCGTAAGTCTAAATAGGTCTTATTATGGTCATGTATATGAGCCTTTTGTAATTAATTGAAAGGTTAGAGCGTTTGTCTATGAAGTGCTGAAGCAGGAAACGTCGAGCGGGTTCTTGTCGTTTCAGTATGGTATGAGGATTCCAAGTTTAACGTTTGTCCAGGTGGACTCCTACGTAAATTTCATAAAAAAAATAAATAAATAAATAATAAAAAAAATAATAGTATCATAAACAACGTCCACCAAAGCTAATTGTATTATTTCTAGGAAGAAGATAATAAATTCGTTTAATTTAATTCCGATGAACATGACTTCAAATCATACTCGATATAGAATACAATTTAATATAGGATTATTATTTTGTGTTAATTATATATAATAATAATGTTATTATAAGGACACCATGAACAATTGTTTTACCTTATCGATTTATCCTCAGTTTAACATTGTCATGATTCGTTCTTTATCCAGCGCAACATGTTTAACAGCCATGCTAAATTATGAAATAACATTAAAAAAATATATATATAATAAAAAACATGCTTTGACGAGGTAGTCATTTGTTCGTAAGAGTTCCGCTCTTTCCAACGCCTCAATCGGATTAGTTTCATCATGACCGAATCACGTAAAGTGTACGTTGTAGCATGGCATTTCTTTGTTAGCCTTGTTTTATCAAATCACATAACTTCATAGACTACAATTCTTAACTATTCTTAGATCAGCAATCGTTGATATGAAACAAATCATTCTATTGTTATTAAACATATTATTATTGACTTACAATTACAGCTCTGACCACTTTAATTTATTCTGGTATTCAAAAATACTACGCTGTTTTCAATGTTTACCTTTAAGTTTTTTTATGAATCGGTTTCGGAATAACGTTTCAAATATATTCTACTTTCAATTTACTGCAGGTATTGGAGTCCAAGCTCCTTACACAGACAGTTCCGTTATTCACGATTCCGAAACATATATATACTGTATTTTTAAAATAATATGTAATTATTCATCAGTTTCAAAATAAACAAGTATGCAAGTATTCGTAAAAAATACTTTTATTTGGCACTTTTAGCTTCTTGGCTAAGCATTCTTAGAAAAACCACTGCCGAATTACTCCAGACAATATTTTGATAAATGCTGAGGAGTTTTGAATTAACTCAAAATTAGGTTTCGTTATCAAACATATAATTAACTTTATATGCTGTTATTCTTTCTAGATTTTGATTAATCATGGTTCATTGTTGATTAGAATTATAGGCCGTATTATAGTAAGTGGTACGAATTATAGTAAGTGGAACAGACCCCTTTTTATAAAATTATTTACATCCACCTAAAACTTCGTGAATAGCTTCATCTCATCATAACCTATAAATATTTTATTTACGAAAGTTGTCGGAATTAGGGCGTTTTAAATCTGAAGATCGACAAACTTTATGTATTTAATAAGGTACTAAAAAGTTGTGAATGTCTATTTGTTTTCCACTTGAATCGTAAGATAATAGATGATAAAGTAGAAAAAAAAGGTGACATACAAATATAGTGGGCGTGCTCTTCACCCCGAAAAAGTTAAAATAAAGAGGTTATATAGGCCAAACCCCCCAATATTTTTGTAGGCCACCTTTTTCTTCTATTTCGTAATCATATTATCTTACGATTCAAGTGGAAAACAAATTGGTATTCATAAGTTTTATGTATCTAATTAAATACATAAAGTTTGCCAATCTCCAGATTAAAAACACCCCAATTCTGATAATTTTCGTAAATAAAATATTTATAGGTTACGATGAGATGAAGCTATTTACGAAGTCTTAGGCGGATGTTAATAATTTGATAAAAGGGGTCTGAACCAAGGACTATTATTTCTTTATTATTCACGTTATATCTTACTTAAATTTAGAGGTTGTAAAAATTGGTAAACATTTCACAATATTATAAATTTAACAAACACATTTTTCCTATTTTAGATATTGTAAAGTCAATTTAATACTTTTTGGGTCATTACTACACAATTTTGCACATTTTTTTAGTTTTTTACTCCACGAAAATCGTGTTCCTTGTCATTAATATATCCTAAGTAAGTCCAGAAATACAAAACATATTATTAATAGTGGAATGGCGGTTGATTGTACTGAATAATTGAACAGAAGTTGGTTAAAGTGTTAAGTAAAAAATAAATAAATTATATTTAAGTAGAAATAGGAAAATGGGTAGATAATAGTGTTGCCCGAAATTGATCTTGGTCTTGCATTTTGCAAGACCAAGGCCGCCTATCTGCAACACCAAACCAGGGATGGTAAAAAAAAATCGACTTTTTTAATAAAAATTAAGGCAAAATAGTTACTAATACTCGACAATCTTAGTAACTATATATTAATAATTAGTATAACCAATAAACTTTTGCATTTAATTCCTCTAATTTTTCATTCCGGCTTAGTTTGGGTTCTCATACCTAAAAAATTACAGTAATACCTTTATAGTGATAAGCTAATAAGTAACTGCAAGACCGTTGCGAGACTCTTACGCAAGACCAAGACCATGGCCAAGACTGAGTTTGCAAGCCCAAGACTCGTCTCGATCTCGCATTTGGGCAACACTAGTAGATAATAGCTCATCCGAAGACATCTCCACCAAAGTTATCAAAATCTTAAGTTTGGGGCAAATTTCTCCACACCTAACACTTCTGTCAAAATCATCCCACAACTCATTACAGACTTTGAATATATTTATGTAGATGTTCTTTTCACTGCTTCAAAGAAAATAAGGAGTTGTCATTTCTAATTATCTTTTATCACCCTCCTCTTCATATTTTTCTCCTTAATTTTTCAAAGAACTTTCTTTTACCCGATCCTCCCTAAAATCCCCTGACAACATCATTATAACCATAGCTGATAAAGGTAACAAAACTATTATTATGGACCGTACAGAATGACAAAATGACTTCATTCCTACCGCACCACATAGTCTCCCACATCCCGCGACCCCGCCCCATCTCTAATAAATATCATTTATTTATTTATAATGTTTTTTTTTTTTTTACTTAACATTCCAACCAACTTCTCTTTAATTAAACATATTATTATTATCATTGTAGAGCTGGAACATTTGCGGCCATGAAGACTGGGAGCCAGTGGGGCATACAACGCCGCAGCAAGGTTGCTGGTTGCTGACCTTTCTCTCTTCATTTCACTTTTAACTGAAGGTCATGGACAAAGGATGGCTTCGCCATTGTGCACCAGGTCCTTTCCCCTCAGGGCTCTCGTCCTCTCATGAGGATGAAATTTTAAATATTTATTTCATCATCACGAATTATAAATTAATCGGATATTGTATTATTTTTTCTATTTATAGAACCTATTAAACAGTTTTTAAGGTGTTTCTACATCATAATTGAAGTTATCATTTAAAAAATTATTCATCCAATCATAGAACATGGTTTAATTTTTATTTTTCGTCGACTGCAACACAAAAAAAAAATAATAATATGGAAGGATCATTAAGATTTTTAAAGGCTGCTAAATAATTTTAGTTAAAAATAGGTGGACAATACAACAGTTTTTTAAAATTATTTTTCTACAATGTCCAATTAATTTATATATTGGCTTAATGTTTCTATTTACAGAAAATAGTAAACTAACACAGTTTTAAAGCTAATTATACATTGAATTTAAGTAGTATTATTAAAATTTTGAAAGGATGCTAAATAATTTTAGTTGAAAACAGGCAAACAATATATCAATTATTTAAAATTAGTTTACAACAATATCCAATTAATTTATATATTAGTTTATTGTTTCTGTTTATAGAAACTAGTAAAATAACACAGTGTTTAAGGTGTTTCTACATTGAATTTGAGTAGTAGTATTAAATTTTCTAAAGGTTGTTAAATAATTTTAGTCGAAAACAGGTACACAATATATCAATTTTTTAAAATTATTTTACAACAATATCCAATTAATTTGGATATTGATTTATTTTTTCTATTTATAGAAACTAGTAAACTAACAAAGAGTTTAAGGTGCTTAAACATGAATTTGAAGTTATAGATTACCAAGTATTCATCCACAAAACATGGTTTAATTTTATTTTCAGTTGACGCCATTGATCGCGTTGTTAAAAAAAATAAACGAAAGTGATAATAATAATTAATAATTATTGGCTAATAATAATTATTGGTATTATTAATTTTTAATTATAATAGTGTTTCAATTTTTCCTCTTGTAATTTTTAATATTTAAAGTGATTTAAATAAATTTAAAATGAAAGCGAAAATGACCCAGATGGTTGAGGAGCTCAAAACATTTATAAATAAATATATAAATAAAAAAGGTTGCGAAATACTTTTATTTGAAAATAGGTACACAATAGATCAATTATTTAAAAATCATACTTAGATTACATTAAAGTAGAATAGGTTATATTTTAGGTGCCGTGTGCAACTTTATAGGTTAGAGGCGAAAGTAGAATAGAAGATCGTTAAAAATTTTATTAGGCATAAAAGTACAAATTTGCGAAATTTTCAATTCAATTGTTTACTTCTCTTCTCTAAACAGCAATTTTATTTTTTAAACAGTATTTTTTTATTATATTCTTGAAATCATGAACCTTTTATTTAAATGTCTTTGTTAACTTATCTTTTTCTAATCTTTAATATTTAATTTTAATGGGTTTTGTCAACTTTTTTTCTTGTACATTTTAATATCTAAACTGTACTCTTTAACTTCTCTTTTATTAATATTAATTTTTTAAAAACATATTTTTAGCTTTTGTTCTCCTTAAATCATTAACCTTTGTTTTAATCGTCTTTGTTAACTTATATCTTTTTAATCTTTAACATTCAATTATACTATCATATTCACCTGTAACTATTTTTAACTTTCTAAACTTTAAACTGTATTTGTTAACTATAGATTTGTTAAGTATGCCTATGCAGTAGGTTGATCCAATTGTACTAAAGGGCGAAAATGACCAAGATGGTTGAAGATCTCAAAACATTTATAAATAAATATATAAATAAAAAAGGTTGCGAAATACTTTTATTTGAAAATAGGTACACAATAGATCAATTATTTAAAAATTTACTTAGGTTAAATTAAAGTAGAATAGAAAATTTATTAGGCATAAGAATAAAAATTTGCGAAATTTTCAATTCAATTTTTTAAAAATGTAATAATTTGTTATAATTTATCTAAATTATATTATGGGAATGAAACTTTTATTCTCCATTCATATTATCATCATATCACTCCATTATTTTAATTCTTACAGTGCAAGTGCCGCGTATTTATAAAATAAAACAACCTGTTTCTTAGGCAAAAAAAAAAAAGGAATTAAAAAATCAAGTTATAATGTATTTAGTTAATATAACAGAAAATCATGTGAATTGGGGATTTGCAGCGATAAAATGTATGGTTTACAGTATGATTTGATATGGAATGACCTAATTTTTACATTTTATATTTTTTTATCTGTTCCTATTTTATTTATGTATTTTATAACATAATAACTGATGGAATATTACTTGGTATGAAAACTTGCTACGCTTGCGAGGAATATTACTGCAACTTACTGTAATAGATTTCATTACGTTTTATGACAATACTTAATAATTATTATCCCTTTTGAATTCGGAAGTTCTACACAAATAACTACAAAAATATCTACATTTATGAGTATATGGTAACTTATTGAACCCCATCAAAACACAAGCCTATACTGCGTCACTTATATTAGTAAAAACATAGTAGTCTCTTACCATTTATATATTTACAAAAGTTTCCAAACCACAGCATTTTTAATAAGATTTGTTCCTACTTAATATCCTTTTTCAGAAGTTAAAATTAAGAAAATATCGCATTTGTTGTATTTTTTAAACAATTTAAAAATAAATAAGAAGTTTTTAATTAAATTAATAAAATAAGATTTAATTACCTTCGCAACCAACATTCCTTTCATTTACATTTCATAGCTATTCGGTCTTTAGTGACACCCTTAGCTCAACAAAAAACAAATTTACTAAAAGATAGGCTGTAAATTAAATAGTCGTAAATAAATGGAATTTATAGTTGGAAGCTGATTCAGTATTGGGAATTCAATTAACAATCTCCTTAAACTTAAAGAATTATATTTTTTTTAATTTATTTATTGAATATTAAGACAATCTGCCACACTCAAGGGCAATAAGCATCCACTATATATACTTATATACTTACAAGAAAAGTAAATGAAAGCAGTTAAACATAAATAAAATAATAATAATAAATATATAAAATTCATTTAAAGCTTATTCACATCTATATACAATAATTTCATTTATCTAAGAGACTTTGTCTTCCAAGTGTGGAAGGTAATGCTAGGCTCCAAGAAGTCTCAGCGCTTCTCTTCCAGCCGCTTTAACTATTGTTCGAAGTACATTAGACTGGAAAGATTGAATACATTTGATATTCGAAAATTTACGTGTCCCCCACAGTTCAAGTCCGTAGATCCAGATAGGTTTCAGTGCACTCTTACAGATTAATAGTTTGTTTTCGATTGAAGGATGAGGCGTCCTGTTTAGTAATCTGTATGACTGTGCATATCCTCGGTTAAGCTCTTGTCTTTTAAGTCTGGTATGTGTTTTCCAAGTCAGTCTTTTGTCTTAAAGGAAGCCGAGTTACCGGACAGTGTCTGAGGAGGGAAGTGGGATAGAGTTAAATGGGATTGGCGGCCAGGATCTGAGTCATAAACTTCGTGTTGCATAACTGCTTTATCAGGGATAGGTAGATGTCTGGAGAATGAGGATGTGTGTGGGAGGATAGGATGGCAGTATCATCTGCGAATGTTGCAAGGAAGGTATCGGGATCTGTAGGGATATAAGCAGGGACGAGAATACTTAAAATAGGACCTAAGACACTGCCTTGTGGGCCTCAACTGGATAACAACTGGAAAATTCTGAGCGTAAGCGGAAGAAACGATTGGAGAAGTAGGATTTGAGAAGTAAATACAAGAATTGAGATAAGAGGGAGAACTATAATGGAAAAGTTTTTTCACATAACCGTGTTGTACAAATCCGAAAAATGGCTTCTTGTAAGATACAGCGTTATTAATAAGTAGTGTAGTATACCAGTGAACGTTTATTTTAAAAGACAAATTTATTTATTGTAGTAATTAGCAGTAAAAAAAGCTAAAAATATATTCCACTTTAACGTTACTTGATTCATCACTTATTATATTTTAAGATTATAAGTAATGGAAATTTTTTCGTATAATTCTAAGATTAGAATCTAAGTATGGGATTTCCCCAAAATTTGAAATCACTAATCCAAAATTGGTTTCATAATTTTATAAATAAGTCGATTATATTGATTTTATAACTCCATTAAATTAGAATTTTGATTTTGCAAAACAGCCTAAAGAATATTATATGGCATGGGGTGATATCTTAATATTAAGTGAAGATAAAAGTTCAACGAATGTTTATGCTACAATGCTTCTAAATATAAAACAGATAAGGATAGATAAGATAATCAAAAAGAAATAAGATGAGTCACAATAAAGTAAACTGAGACACCTGTTTTCTGTAAACAGAGATAATGCGATTCGAGTGTATCAGGCATGACTCATTGTTGATGGATAAGCTGTCAAACAGATTAGGCAGATGCTGCAACAAATGTTCTGACCTGAAGGTATCTTATATATATATATATATATATATATATATATATATATATATATATATATATACAATTATATAATATCAAGATATGTATATATATATATATATATATATATATATATATATACATTTGTACATACATATATACACTTCTTGTTATGTGAAATTTAAAAAATACACACATATGTATAATATATATATATTAATTGTAATGCTTTTAACAGAGATTTTATTCCGATTAAACGGGGTTACGTGAACCCTGTTTTCCCTCAGTGTATGTAGTTTTTGCAACATCTAAAAATAATTTTTTAAAATCTCTCATAGAGATTAAACTGAAAAACTATTATAATTAGTTTTAAAACTGACGAAAATATGTATATTACTTTTTTAACTCAACATATCCATTGATCCAAATATCTCTTAAATTTTGGTATCATTCGATTTTTACCCACTGATGTTAATTATCAAAATTTACATCTTTCTGCTGTACATGTACCGTTCAACTTCAATGATGTCTTACCTTTCCATTAATATTTCTTAGA